CCGCCACAACACGCACACATTGCACCACAAATTAAATCCATTGGGCCGTGATGGCTCCTGGTGCCGTCGAATGTGGGAGCATGCGGCGCCCTGCCTCACACAGCACGCAGCCTGGCCCTGCTTTTACGAGCTGGGTGCCGGCTTGCCAGGCGGACGAAACGGTCCCACCCCGCATTCGTGAGGGCGTGTCACATACACGTGTGCGCACAGCAGCTGAGCCTCACGTCTCTGTCACGGGCAGCTTCTTTGCGTCCATCATGGCCATGAACGCCTCCACCCCGTTGCGCATGCTCCACGAGCTGTCGCAGTCGCGTTTCTCGCGCAGCGCCAGGGACTTGCAGAAAAAGAAGTCCTGGAGGGTGTGCGGGGGAGTTCAAACGTAGCAAGGCAACAAGCAGGGGTCCACGACACAGGCAAGCAGAGTGACAGGGGGTGGGTGTATGAGCTAGATTCACCGCTCCGGCAGCCGGCAGACACAGTGGCTTGCCTACGGCGAGCCACTACACATCTGCTCTGTGCATATTCGCCTCATCAAAGTGACTTTGTTCGACCCGTTTCAAGGCTGTGGCCGGCAAGGTGCGCGCCCCGCCCACCTGCTCTGACAGGCTGCTGGTCGCGTCCCGCCGCAGCGCGCAGGCCACTGCGCTCTGCACCGCCGCTAGGATGGCAAAGGCCTGGCATAGTGGTGGTGGTGGTGGTGGTGGTAGTGGTGGCCGGCACGTGAAACGCAGGGCGCGGTTCTAGTGGAAGGCCTCACATCGGCACAGCAAAGGCCCAATGCAGGTCCTGCAAGCAGGCCGTTCCCAGTGATTTTCGCTCCACAGCCCTGGCATGCGGCGCCCAGCAGTAGCGCCGGGCGGCACACCCACCAAGCCGCACGTGCGTGCGTGCCACGAACAGCTTACCACGCAGGCGGTACAGGCGCCCTGGTCCTTGGGCTGCCCGATCGCTGAGAACCCCCCCATCTGCGCCGCCGACCGCGCATCAAAAGACTGTGGTGATGTCGCGATCAGGAGCTGTGCCCGTTGTGAGGGGGACAGCGCTCCTGCGGCGCACAGGGACGCGCTGCTCCTGCTGCAGACGGCGGCGCGGTCTGACGCCTTGCCAAATGAGGTCCGCCAGGCCTTCGAGCTGGCATAGACCTGTGCGCCAATGTTGCAGAGGTCCTCCAGCGCTTGGTTACCTCAATGAGATGCAAGTAAGGTCCAGTTTGCGCAAGCTGTGCGGTGCGTCCGGACCGCTGTACAGGTCGCCCGGGCAAGGTGCGTCGCCGTGCGCAACGCAATGCTCTGTTGCTTCACGTAATGTCAACATCAAAATGGAATCATGAGAAAAAATTACTTTCGGTCTGTGGCGAGCGACTGCGGACCATGTCGCGAAACCCGATCCGGATGACCCACCGCGCTGAGCAACTCCTGTGCAGCCGAAGCCCCCAGCAGTGACTTCGGGTTTTCTGCAAGTCCTTGCGCGGCGGCATCCTCGGGATGCTGCAGCAACAACAAAAGCAGGAACGCAGGCCACGGCAGCATCGTCGCAAGCTGACGCCGTCTGATGGGCGTGTCATCGCAGAGGAGAAGTACAACGCTAAATAAAGAACAGCACGGTTCTGACAGCGAAGACGCTTAACGTACAGCACAGCGAAGCCCGTGTCGTCACTCGGGTGTGCGCAGCCACCCTGAGCAAGGCCACATTCTCCCAGAGCGGTGTTCGACTCTGCGAGCTGCGGGTTACAGGCGCACCTCTTCAATCAACTGCAATCCCTACCCTCAACCGTCCCATTGTCCTTGCCCGCCTCTTCTCGTCAGGACGTCGGGCCTTTGGGCTGCGGCTTTGGGCCATTCGTGTACGCCTAGGGTTTTGCCCTCAGTTATCTAGCTGCTTGCTGAAAGTTTTCCGAATCCACACTGATGCGTGAGCACACATGGCATCACACACACAATCACCCACACACGTACTCACACATGTACTCACACACAAAACGTGATCTGTGCAGTGAGGGGCTCGGCGCTGACCTCAGCAACAGAGCAGGCGATGCGCTTGCCTACCGCCACCCCCAACCACCTCAATCAGGTTGCACGCAGCAGGTGCGGGCTTGGCCGCCGCTCACTGGCCGTAGAAGCGCACTGATGCACTCAATAGCTCGGCACGGCGCTGCTGAATGCTGCATCAGCAGCATAGGACAGTGTGTGCTAGTCAATCGGCACGACAGGAAGTTATGCCTTCCTACGCATGCGGCTCCTGGCCCTGGGCGGGCACCCTCGACAGGTGGTGGCCTGACAGCTGCAGGTGCTATGGCAGCCCACCCTTCAATTGGAGCATACGATTAACTCCCACCCGCTACTGTGTTTATAATGTACAACACGGAAAATTCAAAGCACTGCCACCATGGCGCATTGGTTGTCTTGGAAAAGCGGCCCAAGCGGCCGAGCATGTGCCCCATGTGCTGGGCCTTTTGAGACGCCAAGGCGGTTGCGAGGATCCACGCGAGATATTGCGGCTGCTCAGGTCCGTTGCAGGCACATGCTTGTCCAAGCCTGGACGTAGCAAATGCGTTGCTGTTGCTATGATTCACTGGTCGGGGCCCCAGCGCCTGTGGCTGCCAAATGCGTAGGGACACCCCGAACCATTACGCAACCCTGGCCCACACTGCTGGCCGCCGCCGCCCCTTTTGAGGGGCAACTTTGCGTTGAGGGGCCGCCGTCTGCTGGCTGCAACTTGGGGCATGCATAAAGTGTTGTATGTACTATCGAATTACGCGGCGCCTCGGCTTACCTGTGATTGTTTGAACGACCGAACCCCCCGAAAGCAGCAGGCCGTTCCCAAGTGGGGTTCGCCTATCCGTGTCTGCTTGCCAGATTAATAGATAGGTATCTCGCGATACAGCGCACTTCTTGCGCCGTGTACACGTTTGATTTGACCGCATACACAGCAGCTGTCGCAGAGCGTGCTGCAGCAGCCAACGCGTCGCCGGAAGGGCCGTTCAAAGCTCGTGCCTGTGCGCGACCACCAGTACTCTGTAGCCGTCGTTTACATCCACCACATGCAGTGCCTTGCGAGCAGACAGGGCTCGGCCCAGATCAGTCGCGGAGTCCCGGCTGCTAGGCGGTTGCAGGCAGCTGTCAGGCGCACCTCAGCCGGCGTGAACTCGATCGAACGCAGCATATTGACTCGGGCCACAGCCACCGAGCCCGCCCCAAGGTGGGTGACGAATGTTGCCCTTGGGTGAGGCCACTCGCCCTTTGCCCCAGCACGCCCTCTGATCGCTCTTCTCGCCCTCGCAGTGGTACTGGTGCTAAGATGGCGGTGTCTGAGATCGGCCTCGTCGGCCTGGCGGTGATGGGCCAGGTGAGCGCTGCACCGCTGCCAGATTGACGCTTTTTCGCCCACCTGCCGCGCCGCCGGGCCTCACTCGATGGCCCTCGGCGCCCCGCCCACGCTTCCCCAGAACCTGTCCCTCAACATAGCTGAGAAGGGGTTCCCCATCAGCGTATACAACCGCAGCTACGACAAGACTGAGGCGGCAGTGGCGCGCGCCCAGAAAGAGGGTGCGTCATGGCTCCAGGGGGCGACAGCGGCGGAACCCCGATGCAGGCGGGCCGCGCCCCCTGTCCCTAGCGCTCGCATCCTCTGTCCTGGCTAGTGCGGCCGCTCCGGCTCGCGCGCAGCAGCGGCATCACGGGCGAAAGGCCCTCCGGCCGCTCGCACCAGCCCGGCAGAGCCTGCATCCAAAATGGACACGCCCCGCCCCCTGCCGCGCCCCATGTCCCCAGGCCTGGGTGAGAAGCTCTCCGGCTACAAGGATGTGAAAGACTTTGTGGCCTCGCTGCAGAAGCCCAGGTGCGTGTCCCCGCGTGACGGGGGGGGGGCCATCTCGCGGCCCCTGCGCTAGCCATGGGGGCCACCCTAGAGTCGGGACGGCAGTTGGTGGGGGCTGGGCGCACGCCAGCGCTCACCACGCGCGGCGCGGATGCCACCAGGCTCACTCATGGGAGGAGCAGAGCTGGCGTGTTTCGCACTCGCTCGGTCGCGCCCGGCGGGGCTGGGTGGAGCCGTTGCCACCCCTCCACCGCCGTGTTCCCAACCGCATCTACCCCTGAATGACGCTTGCGGCATCCGAGCACCCCAACACCCCCCCATCCGGGCCCGGCGCCCCCCCTTCACCCCTATGACTCCAGGCGTGTCATCATCCTGGTCAAGGCTGGGGCCCCGGTCGACCAGACCATCTCGGTGGGCCCCCATGGCGCGCGTGCAGCCCGAGGGGGCGGCCGCGCCCTCCCATCGCCCGGTCATGGCGGGCCACTGGGCGGTGGCGCACGCGCC